TTGGGGGGGGGGGAGGGGGCAAAACAGGCCCCCTCCCAAAAAAACATTGCCCCCCAACATTTTTTGCCCCCCCGCTCACAGCATCCCCCTGCGGCCCTGCGCGGGTGAGAGGAGGGGGAACACTGGATAGAAAGGGGAGAAAATGGATTAATTTTTGTGGGGGGTGCGGAATCTTTTGGATGAGGGGTCTCCAATCTTAGACTCCCCCCACCTTGTTTCCCCTACGCAAAAAACTGCTCGCAGCCCAGCTCTCCATCACGACCAAGCACAGGGTGACGGAGGCTGCCGCGTGGAACCGCAATGCTGGGGGGCAGAGGTACCGCACTGGCGATACCCAGGGGCTTGAGAGTGGGGGACCAGTCGCTGCACGACTCTCATTCAAGAAACAGCGACAACCGAACTTTATTTTATTATTTTTTTTTTTCCCCAACTCAGTACCGACAAAACGAAACTCCCACAACCGGTGGGCGGGCTAAAAACGGGGAAAAAGGATCGTGAAACGGTTAAAATGGGATTGTGGGGGGGGGAGGGGGCAAAACAGGCCCCCTCCCAAAAAAACATTGCCCCCCAACATTTTTTGCCCCCCCGCTCACAGCATCCCCCTGCGGCCCCGCGCGGGTGAGAGGAGGGGGAACACTGGATAGAAAGGGGAGAAAATGGATTAATTTTTGTGGGGGGTGCGGAATCTTTTGGATGAGGGGTCTCCAATCTTAGACTCCCCCCACCTTGTTTCCCCTACGCAAAAAACTGCTCGCAGCCCAGCTCTCCATCACGACCAAGCACAGGGTGACGGAGGCTGCCGCGTGGAACCGCAATGCTGGGGGGCAGAGGTACCGCACTGGCGATACCCAGGGGCTTGAGAGTGGGGGACCAGTCGCTGCACGACTCTCATTCAAGAAACAGCGACAACCGAACTTTATTTTATTATTTTTTTTTTCCCCAACTCAGTACCGACAAAACGAAACTCCCACAACCGGTGGGCGGGCTAAAAACGGGGAAAAAGGATCGCGAAACGGTTAAAATGGGATTGGGGGGGGGGGAGGGGGCAAAACAGGCCCCCTCCCAAAAAAACATTGCCCCCCAACATTTTTTGCCCCCCCGCTCACAGCATCCCCCTGCGGCCCCGCGCGGGTGAGAGGAGGGGGTAACACTGGATAGAAAGGGGAGAAAATGGATTAATTTTTGTGGGGGGTGCGGAATCTTTTGGATGAGGGGTCTCCAATCTTAGACTCCCCCCACCTTGTTTCCCCTACGCAAAAAACTGCTCGCAGCCCAGCTCTCCATCACGACCAAGCACAGGGTGACGGAGGCTGCCGCGTGGAACCGCAGCGCTGGGGGGGGAGGTCAAGGAGAACCAACTCGGGGGGGCCCCCCCGACCTCTCCCCGGGAATTTTAGGGACCCCCCCGCACTTGTTTTGGGGTCCCCATGCTTCAAGAGGCTGGGGCCCATTGGATTTGGGGTGCCCCCCCTTTTTTAGGAGGACCCCCCTTTTTTAGGAACCCCTCCTTTTGCGACACCTCCCCATTTTGGGGTACCCCCCCACTTTTGAGATAATCCCCCTATTTTGAGCTGCCTTTTGGGGTTCCCCCCCGTATTTAGGATCCCCCCCTTCTGCCCCCCCCAAAATCTGCCCCCCCCGCGAGTTTTATCTGTAAACAGGAAGATTCAGAGAAGGAGCCAAGTTATGCTCCCTATAGTCTTAATATTGAACTGGTGGCAGCAGCAGTCACTCCAGGAAGGGAGACAGGGACTGTAATTAACACTGTCCCTAAAGAAGGATCGTACTCTAGGCTCTGTCAAGAATTAGAACAAGGTAGAAGAGATACTGAGAATTTTGCCTTCCCTGATACTAACGGTACTAACACTAACTGTGTATCCTCTTAGGTGAACTACCCCCTCCTCCTTACCAGCAGAGAGGTTAGAACTTTTCAGAAGGAGAGGAAGTCTTTATTCGAGGACCCCAACAGCCTAGTTGAACAATTAGACCAGTTCCTACGATCTGATTTATACTCTTGGGGAAGGGAATTATGTCTATAAGTATGTTGTTTACAGGGAAAGAAATGGGAATGATCAGGAGGAGAGCTGCTATACAAGAATGGGAAAGAGCTCATCCTCCAGGACCAGGGGTAATACCGGCAGGGCAGAAATACCCACTTGCCAATCCTGGCTGGAATAATAATAGTGTGCAACACAGAAATCATATGAGAGACTTGGGGTCAGAATGAGAAAGTACTTGGGGATGAGACCTGAGGACCCAGTATCCCAAGGGCTCTTGAAAGGTCATTGTGTGATTAAAGCCTGGCAAAATACGCAGAAAATGCTTCAGAAGGTGGGGGGATGTAGTGAACAGTCACTGGGGGACCCTCCTGCGGGAGGCCCTGGAGGTGTGTGTCCGGAGGGGAGATAAGAAGGAAAAAAAAAGAGCAAAACTAATGGTATTGACAGTGCAGCGGGTAATGAGGCAGAGGGTTGGAGAAAGAGGAAGAAAATCTTCAGGGGGAATCAGGGCCAGGATGGAAAGGAGAGGAAGAGAGATGAAGAAATAGCAGGCAAAGAAGGCTGCCTGTGTTGTGGCCCGAGTCCTAGCAGAGACAGGCAGATAAGATGTTTTAAGTGTGGCCAGGTTGGCCACTTCGAATAGGAATATCTGGAGTGGAAAAAGGAGGAAAGAAGGAAAATGGGATGAAATATGCTATATTGATATGTTGTTTCAGTATCTTGGAGGGAAAAGGTATGGAATTAAGTTGGACCCTGACTGAGCCTTTGGTGCTGGTATTAGAAAAGTACGGGCTGGAGAAAGATAAAGGAAGTGTTAAAAGGGTTGCTGAAGGTGTTAAAGGTGTGGCGTGTAATATTTAACAGAGCTGTTTGAAGTTGAATGAGCATGGAAAGGGGATGTAGGCATTATCTAAGTAACAGTCTGGAAGTTTTGGTATATTTGCATATTTGCTGTGGTGTTTGTTCAGTTTCCCAGGCATCGGGGAGGGGGACGGTGGGGGGGAACAGCCTGCTCCACCAGGGACCTCTCCAGCGGCCACAGGGGGGCTTCGGCTCCAGCGCCTGGAGCGCCTCCTCCCCCTCCTTCTGCACTGACTTTGGTGTCTGCGGGGGGGGGGGTTTCTCGCTCTCCCAACTGCTGTTGAGCAGCAGGCTTTTGTTTGTTTGTTTGTTTTCGTGGATGTGCTCTCACAGAGGCACGGACTGTATTGCTCATGGCTTGGCTCTGGGCAGCAGTGGGCCCCTTTGGGGCCAGATGAAATTGTCCCTTACCTGCCACGGGGAGGCTTCTGGGTTTTTCTCACGGGGGCTGCCACTGCAGTTTTCTACCCCCCCCCCTCACAGCCCCCGAACCTTGCCATCAAACCCAATCCACTGGGGAACAGCTAGGTCATTACTGACTTGTAAAGTATCAGGGACTAAATCAACTAATGAAACCCTAAAAAGTGATGGGGGTAGAAGGGGCTGGAATAACAGTGCCACTGTTGGGGGATACCAAGCTGAGACCAGGGGATAAAATGATCACTGGGTAATTATTGTATGTACCTAAGGCAGGGACTAACTTGTTGGGAAGGGATTTGATGATTAAATTGGGCATTCAACTAGTAAATTATTAGACTGGAATAACAGTGTTATTAATGGAGTGCTCTCTGGCCCTGAGACCAAACATACATGTGTATTCACCTCTGACTGGAAAGACCCTGAAATGGGGGTGGAAGCAACAATATAGGTGGACAATTTTACCTCAGGGGTTTACAGGGCCACCTATCTATTTGGATAAGTTCTAAAAAAAAAAAAAAAAAAAAAAAGATTTTGGAGCAATTACAACCTCCCAAGGAGGTATTAATGTTAACAAAAATGTGGATCGTTTTCTATTGTCAGGACAGGAGAAAAGAGTTGTGAAGAAAGCTACTAACAAGCTATTCGACTTTCTGGGAAAGCAGGGCTTGGGAGTATTGAAAAATAAATTACAATATGGAGAAAGAGAAGTCAGGTATTTAAGGCATCTAATGTCTGAAGGAAAACAGAATAAATGCAGAGAGGATTCAGGGAATTGTTGAAAATTAAGAAAGAACTAAAAAGATTTAAAAGAAAGATTTTTTTAAGGAATCAGGAGCCATGAAGTCTGAAGGAAAATCGATACTCCCTGATGGGAGAGAAATGCTGAATAAAGTGATAATGAGGCAAATATTAACTGTTTTACATCAGAAGAGTCATTGGGAGGTGCAAGCAATATGTGATAAGAAAGTATGTCTGTGTAGGAATATACACTTTAGGGCAGCACATATGTAGAGGATGTACCATATGTCAAAAGGTAAATAAAAAGGTCTGTAATCCATCTAGAAGAGGACGGGAGCCAGGGGTTTGACCTTTCCAAAGTATACAGGTAAACTTTACTGAGTTACTTGTTTGTCCTAACTGACCATGTGACTAGATGGGTGTAAGCTTTACTGCAAGGGTTAAAGCAGGCCTTAGAGATCGAGTGGGATTTTCACAGCCCCTGGCACCCCTCCTCTTCTTGGAAGGTGGAGCCAATGAATCAGACATTAAAGAAGCAATTAACTAAATTAGTGTTAGAAACCCAACTTCCTTGGGTAAAATACTTACTCCTACAGGTTTAAACAGCACCAAGAAAGGATATAGGAATTTCACCATATGAGATGCTGTTCAGATTGCCGTATCTGGGCAGAAGGGATGAGATAGGACAATTCAAAACAAGAGAGTTTTCTTAAGAACTGTATTCTGGGGTTGTCCTCTTCTTTGTCATTTCTCAGGACCTGTGGGTTGTTGGCTCAAACCCCACCTTTGGAATTCCCCATTCACCACCATCACCCGGGAAATCGGGTCCTGATTTGGACCTGGAAAGAGTCAACTCCAGCCTGAATGGGAAGGACAATTACTGACCACTGAAACAGCCGTAAGAACTGTGGAAAAAGGTTGGACTCACTATACTCGAGTGAAGGCATCCGTCGACGCTAGTACCTGGGAAGCTGTTCCTACAAAAGACTTGTTGGAAGTTGAAATTGAAGAGAAAAATCTCATAGTGGACTCTGAGCAGGGTAAGAGCTTACAATTGTAAACTAACCTTTTATTTTCACAGGTAACTAATGAGTGTAACTTGTGATTGAGAGAAAGAACAGACCTATAGTGAATTGCAGTGCTCCCAAGGGGGGGGTTGTTATAGTAGTAGTGTACATCTTATTTTTTGTATCGATAATTATTTGGAAACCTAAGGTTTAAAAATAATGACAGGGAAAAATGGATTACTAATTTTGTTTTTAGTGATTCTAGGCCTCAGAGAAGGCCTTGGTCAATTGGCAACTTGCAAAAGGCATGACCAGATAATAGCAAAAACGGGATACCCCATCAAAATATGGGTGACTGTGACAGAGGGTTATGTACCACATTCTGTCACGTTTGATGTTTGTGAGGTGTTAGCTTGTGGAGATTGAAATGCCCAACGACAATTGAGCAGAGAGAACAAATAACTGAGAGAGACCCAACAGCCAGATTGAGAATAGCTGTATGGAAACAATCCTCTGTTGCCATCAGAGAAAGGGAGAAACTCAAGGAGAAAACAGGAGAGAAAACAGGAGGCCCTCTGAAATGTGGCAGTTCAAACATTTGAGATTCAAACAGGGTATGGGGATGTGAATGCCTGGATAGAATGGGTCAAATATACCATCCAGAGTCTCAACCGTAGCTACTGCTATGCTTGTGCCTCAGGATGACCAATTGCCCAGATAGTGCCCTTCCCATGGGGGTGGACCAAAGACTCCCAAGGGATGCGATGTATGATTGCATTGGAGCAAGAAAAGACTGCCTGGGGAAACGAGGCCTGTAAGTCTCTCTTTGCTGTTCCTTGCATGTTAGCAATATCGCGGTTCCCCCTGCATTCTCTACAGCTATAGGTAACTATACAGCTTGCCTCTCACGGCAGGGTGTGAGTGCTACCTGGCATCTGGGAGAATTTGCCTTGTGCTACCAAGGACTTGATGGGAAACTGCTCAAGACTAGAGATCCCCAGGGCAGATCTCTGGTGGTACGGTGGAGGGAAGATCTTACGGTCCACCCTACCATCAAATTGGGGAGGCACGTGTGTACTTGTTCAATTAGCTATACCCTTCACCCTGGCATTTGAAAGAGAAACATCACAAATACCCAGAAGAAGTAAAAGAGGCTTAGGAATATCATTTGATGACAGAGTATACATAGATTCTATTGGGGTACCTAGAGGAGTTCCAGATGAACATAAAGCCAGAAATCAAATTGCTGCAGGGTTTGAGTCACTGTTCTGGTGGGTAACAATCAATAAAAATGTGGATTGGATTAATTATTTCTATTATAATCAGCAGAGATTCATCAATTATACCAAGGATGCGATGAGAGGAATCGCTGAACAACTAGATGCCATCAGCAAAATGGCTTGGGAAAACAGGATAGCATTAGATATGATGCTCGCAGAGGAAGGAGGTGTGTTTGTGTGTGTAATACTGAGCAACCATTGTTGCACTTACACCCAACAATAGTGTCCCAGATGGCTCGGTAACAAGAGCATTGCAAGGGCTTACCACCCTTGCCAGTGAATTGGGAGAAAAAGTAGGCATATTTACAACATTGATCGTAGTTGTAGGAGTTTTGACAGCCATTGGTTGCTGCATTATCCTCTGTGTAAGAGGACTAGTACAGTGGTTAACTGAAACCGCACTATTGAAACAAATGACCATGGAGCTACCACCTTACTCAGATAAGGAGATAATGAGGAGATGGAAAGCAAAGAAAGCAAAGAAGAAGAAGAAATCTATCAAATTACACCTTAGAGAAAGGTTTTACAAAAATCAACACTTTATAAAAAAAAGAAAAGGGGGGAATTGTGGGAATAGAAATGTTGTTTTTGCAGAGTTACATTGTTTAGAAGGAGGGAATGTGGTACTGAGATATGCTTACAGTGATAAGAAAGTTTAGCAGGCGACCTAGTAAAATGCAGACAACCAGACTCCTTAGGACAATTAGGTGAAAATCACGGTGTCAAGTCAAGTCAGATAAGGGAAGAAACATTACCACTTCAAGCAGTAAAAATGTCAAAAGAAATTTGAAATTTAACAGGCCGGCAACTGAAGGCCATGCGTTGTTTGTGAAGCATCAGATAGATTGTGAACCTGGATTACCCACTCAGTGGGGAAACAGGGGAGGGTCCTGCCATCAAAAGGTGTATCAACTTTGTTTTGGAACTAGTAGATGCTCTCTCCTGCTTGTGGGGCGCCCGCCATTGCAATCGCGAATAAATTACTACTTCACTGAGATCCTCGCCTGAGCCTAAGTTATTGGCTACGGAGTGTTTCTCACACCCATATTTAGGATTCCCCCCACCTACCCCCCCAAAATCTGCCCCCCCCGCGAGTTTTAGGGTCCCCCCCATATTTCAGTGCCCCCCCCATTTTTCAACCCCCACCCCCCAACATTTCACCCCCCCCATATTTTTTATGCCCCCCCCTTTATTTTAGCCCCCCCCACCGTATTTTCTTTCCCCCCCCCCTATTTTAGGACCCCCCTTATTTTACCCCTCCATATTTTAGGGTCCCCCCTGTGTCTTCCCCCATTTCAGGACCCCCACCCATATTTCAAGCCCCCCCCAAACATTCCAGGACCCCCCCCCATATTTCCAGCACCCCCAATACTACCCCCCCAATATTTTAGCCCCCCCCACTTCACCCCCTTCAAAACCCCCCCATTCACCCCAATTCCCCCCCATACTCCTCCACCCCCCTCGTTTTTTCCTCTCCCGCCCCCAGTTTTTTTTGCCCCCCCCCCGGGGTGCAGGATACAGAACATCCCCTGCAAGCGGTGGAACCTGGACACCCCCGCGAAGAAACCCCCAAATTCGATGGCCAGTAGCCCCACAGCCAACCCCAGGGCGCACAGCAGCCTGGGGGGGGGGACACACATTATTTTTTTTGGGGGGGGTGCAGAGTTTTGGGAAGGTATGTGGGGTTTTTGGGGAGGGGTATGGGGTTTTTGGGGTGGTCACGGGGTTTATTCAGGGGGGGCACAGGGTTATTTTGGGGAGGGTTACTTGTTTTGGGGGGGGCAGGGTTTTTTTGGGGGGATAAATGGGGTTTTGGGGGGGAAATGTTTTTTTTGGGGGGGCACAGAAGGTTTTTGGGGGGGCCATGGAGGTTTTTGGGGGGTGTCAGAATCCGGGGGGGGGCAGGACTCTATGGGGGGGGGTCAGGGTCCCTATGGGGGTATTGGGGTCCTCCTGGGGGGGGCAGTGATGACCCCATGGGGGGGGGTTGGGGTGTTTGGGGGGGGGTCAGGGTCTTTGGGGGAGGTCAGGGACCCCATGCGGGGGGTTGGGGTCCTCGTCGGGGGGGGTCAGAATCCTTTTGGGGGGGGTCAGGATCCCTTTGAGGGCATTGGGGTCCCCGTGGGGGGGGGGGTCAGGATCCTTTTGGGGGTGCTGGGATCCCTGTAGGGGGGGGTCAGGATCTTTTTGGGGGGGTCAGCGATCCCATGGGGGGGTCAGGGTCTTTTTTGGGGGGGGTCAGGATCTTTTTGGGGGGGGTCAGGGATCACGTGGGGGTGTTGGAGTCTCCATGGAGGTGTTGGGATCCCCATGGAGGGGGGTTCAGTGGCACCTTGCTGGGACCAGGTTTCTCAGCTTGTTTCCTTGCTGGTTCGTATAGCGAAATAGTAGCTAGGGCACAGCTGAGCATTGTCCAGCCAGGAGCAGTCTTGCAAGCGATTGATTCAGGTCAAGCCAAATGTGTTCAGTACAGCTATGCCATCCCTAAGTGGCACTAAATGTCATCAGTCCTGGTTGTTCTGTATGAGCTGGCAATCACGCGAGTGATCCCGTACTAGTAATGTTAGAACCTTATAATCCTAACAACAGCTCTGCTGTTAATCACTGTTTGTCACGTTTCAGTTCTTCTTTGTAAGCTGCTCGCTTAATTTTACTCTAATAGTGGAATGAACTTTGATAGCCATGAAGAATGAGGAACTAATGGTAGCATTTGCTGTGTGGTGGCATCAGAATGTAGCATCTTGAAGGAGTAAATTCACTGTCTCTTCTGTGTGTGTTTTTTTTTTTCAGCTAGCCTGACCACAGACTAATCTTTTACCAGTCTCTTACCATTTTTTCTGTGCAGAAGAGAAAGCTGAGTGTTCTGAGGTGTTTCTTCTTCTGCTTATGTATGACCTGTAGGTAGGCCAGCAGAAATCAACTTCCCACCCTTTATCACTATTTTAACTATGGAATATAAATATAACTACAGTTTCTTCTTAAATGTAATTCCCAGATCAATGATGTTTATTGCTATCTTTTGTTCAAAGTCCAGCCAGCTTTCAGTGCATGTTATTATCGATGACCAGTTTAAATGTTTAGAGCAAGAATCTGTTAGTGAATTAAATTATTTACTGGAAAGCTAATTACTTACGGTTAAGGAGTTTAAGTGACTCTATGAAACTTACTTTTTCATTGAATACACTGATTTATGCGTTCTACAACTTCTGTATGAGAAGGTTGAAAGTTGCAGGTTGGTCTATAAAAACCTAGGTGAATTTAAACACAAATCTAAGGTCGTAAGTTGGAGAAGTCAAAGACGAGAAGTTGGGAGAAGCAAAGAAAGTGGAGCAGATTGGGGTGAAGTATATAAACTTCTCAAGTTTAAATGCAAAAAATATCTGATCTCTTCTGAAGAATAAAGGTACTAGTGCATACGCAGTCCTAAGATTTCGATAAGAAAGGTAGAAAATATGTTGTAACACTTCAAGGATCGGTCTGAAGTATGTACAGTTAAAATTATACTTGTTAAATTGCTGAAGGCATGTTTGAGCTTGTATGTAAGTTTGTGCAATAAGCGAAGTGGGCAGTTGTTCAAATGACTAGTCTTCTAAGCCAAAGAGCTTGCTAAGGTCCTTGAGGTGTGATGTTTTCCACATACCCGTAGGAGAAAAATAGGAAAGATCTCCCCTGTTCTGTGGGCGAACAGCAGTGGTGTGCAGTTCTGATCCATGAGTAAAGGTGGCACGTAACACTCAGCTGCCTTTGGAGCTGGAGCAGAGAAACACACCGGTTCCTCATGATGATTTTTTTACGTATTGTGGATGTGGATCTAAGGAACATACCTCCTTTTGCCATCTTCTTCTTGCCAGTACTGCACAATAGTAGTCTAGGTTTGTAAACTGGCTTTTCCTTTTCCTTCATCCCTTTAATAAAGCCTTGTTACTTGAACTGTCCTTTGTATGGACCCCTGTTCTCCCTACAAGTGATGCTGCTATGTGTTTTTTAAAAAATAGTTGCATGCACTTTTTTTTTTTTTTTAACTGTTGCAGTTAACTTCAGTAAGATGTTTCTTCATTTGGCTGTGTTTTGGGGCGAGGTAGGGAGGAACAGGGATTGAATCTCATGGTGTGGACCAAGATTTTAGAAACAGATACCTAAATTTAAGCTCCTGCAGGTTTTTTGTTCACTACCTAAGCAAGCATCCTCACCTTCAGTAGTGGTAGATGCTCTACTAGTCTCATTCACTCCTGTCTTTGTCTTCTCTTTTTAGATGCCTTCATCTTACCTGATAATTCTAGTGACTTTTAGTGGAGGAAAAACAAGTTTCTTACCTTTACAAGTTTCTTAAATCTTAGTTATCAGCACCTGATAAACAACTCTAGCAAATGTAAAGGCTTTTAAAGGAACTTTTGGACTAGCGTAGTGTTGGTGTATGCAATTTTCTAACTGTACGTTTCCAAACAGACTAAGTACACAGTGCTGATGGCAGCGTGTGCTGCTCATGCTTCAGAGGAAAACATCTTGAAGACTGTGGAACTACTGCTGTCAAGGAATGTCAACCCTAACCTTACTTGCAGGTACAAAAAAAAGTCTGAACGCTGTATTATGTAATATTACTGTAGAGACATTTTTAGGTTTAGTTGTTACCACTTGAGATGATGTCTACTTCATTAGCTTTTTGTAACTTTGCTGCTCTCTGTATATACAGAAAGATTAGTGTGCAGGTGTTTTTTTCTTCTAGTATAGTCATTCACCTGAGTAAGCGTGTGATCAAATTTATCAAATTTAAATGTGTGTGTGTGTGTGTGTTTTTTGGTGTTTTTGTTTGTTCTGCTTTTTTTTTTTTTTAAATATAATTATTTTAATCCCTTTGGTTGACAATAGTGTAAGCACAGGAAATATATCCTATGATTTGGGAAAGGCAAATTTCTTATTCTGTATAAGGATGTGGCTTAACTCATCAGTTAATCGGTTAATTCTTTAAATACATTCAGGCTTTGCTTTTGAGCTTTTTGCAATTATCTAGCTATATTCCTTACACAGATTCCCGTGGAAAAAGTAAGCTTCTCTATAAATAAAACAGTTATTCTAATGCAAGCATGCTTTAATCTCCTTTAAAAAAAAAAAAACAAACAGATGACAGTTTGTTTCTCAAATTACCATGTCCTGTCTCAGCAGTCTGAAGCAATGCGTTGCAAGCTGTCTGTACTTGCATAGGCTGCTGCAGTGATTTGTTTTAAATCATGAAGAAGGCACTTCTGGGCTGATCCATGATGAAGTATCCTCCCTCTGCTGGAAGAAAAAAGCTTTTTGTTTAGTTCAAACTGAAACTGTTTGTTTTTCACTTGACTGAACTTACTTTTTTACACCACAGCTTTTTCACCTCTTTACCACCTTACCTAAAATAGGTGGACTGTGTAGTGATACAAAAAGAACAGAATTGGAGGCCTGTGGGTTCTTATTAAAATAATTCCATTAATTTGCTGGGCCCTGACCCTCACTATAATCGTAGTACTGATAGATGGGGAACAATAATAATAATAATAATTTATTTACAAAGTTATGCTGAAGTGGCACTGATCTACAGCACCAAAATTAAATGCCCCGTTCATTCTTTATAGGCTAAAAATTGCTCGTGAAAGAAAACTGTAAATTCTGAAATAATTACAACTTGTTGCCCTCGGGTAGCTGGGTATTAAAATAAATGTCTTGCCTGAAAAAATGGGGGAAATCTTTCCATTATACAGCTTTGCCCTGGGTGTTTGAAAACAAGCTAAAGCTGAAAGTTTCCACTTAAAAAGGCCTTTGGCTGAACTTTGAAGATAAAAAGGTTGGCTTCTGACACAAGAGTTGGGAATTTTAAGGGCAAAACCCTATTTATAAACTCAGTGTGTGTTTTGCATAGTTGATCTTATTTATTTACTGTCTCTCTTTGTTCCCTAAGACCTTGTGCTAACATGCGAGGTAATTCTGGAGTAGTACCACATCCAGTGTCCAGTTGTGGTAGTTCTTGCTTTCTCAAATGAAAAGGTAACTGACAATCCAAAATGTAGCATTTCAACCAAACAAAAGTAGAAGTTAGATGACAAGAGCTGGATTTTTTTTATTTTTTATTTTATTTTTTTTCAAAAATCTCCCTGCTGCCTTTTTTTCCCTTCCCAGTATTTGACTTCATGCATACTGCTCCATTATTAGAATTGCTTAGGCAGTTTAGCTGCTGCTTTGTGGGGGCTTCTTCCAGTGTGTTCAGAAGCACTGGGATGAAACCCATCAGGATTCTGGGAAGATCATGAAACTAAACACATCCTCTGCATGGCACTCAGGTCCTGCTTCGCCTGTTCTTTTAGATCAGAGTGTTCCGTAAGAAGACGTCTGAACTGTTAGTGAGTTGAGATTATCATGAGTCTTCACTATGTGATCAGTTCACTGCACGTTAAGAACTAAACTTTGCATTATTGGGTTATCTCAGTACTTAAAAAACAGCGATTTTAGGAATCTTCCCTTGCATCCACCAGCAACTGAAATGTATGTGAATTCACAGCTGAAAATCTATCTGTGGCGTAAGACAGAGTTTGATACTTGTTCTTTGTTGATCTGGCAGTGAAGCCATATGGATTGTTCTTTGATTTCACATCATGTGGAGGTGATAAACAGGAATTTGAACGTTTTTTTTGACTAATTCATGAAGTATGCATGATGAGGCAGAAGAGTGCTAAAAAATAACCTGTTATTTGAAATGCAGTCTAAGAAAGAAGACAAGTTTAAGAGTGGATAGGTAAATGGTTTCTTTGCAATAGAATAGAATACTAAGGAGAAAGTACTAAGCAGAGTAACTTCTGTTATTTTTGCTGAATTAAAATCGGGAAGTAAATACTGGTGGCTATAAAACCAGTTTTATTGAGAAGGTAGTGTATGAAAGTAGAAGTGCCAACCTGCAGAGTTTTGAAAGACAAACAAGGTATTGGATAGGTGAAATGAGAAAGCGTTGTAAGACCTGCTCTTATGTAGTCTTTGCAGAGCTACTGTACTCTGAGTGCTTCATCTAAGTGAAGGCTAGCTTGAGAAATTAAATGTTTTGATCTTGTACGATTTACCTCCCACTTGCTCTCAAATGTAAATGATATACTTAAGCCTTTTGTAAGGCCTGGAAATATTTAAGCAGACTCTTTATTTGTTTGGTTTTGTTTTTTAAAAACTTCTTTTTACCTGCAGTGCTTTCTAAAAGGTACACTGGTTTTATTAATATTAACCTGTGACTTCATTTTAGACAGAAGTAAAAGGGTATCACCAACTGACAAGTAAATTACAAAACAGTTCCTAGGAGTGTATCTCATGGGTTGTTTAGTAGACCTGGATTTTAATGATGATACCCTCCAAATTCTTGTTTATTTAAGTACAATAAAAGAAATCTAATGACTTACAGGTAAGGACAGTGTTTTGAGTTGATGTTTCATGCCAATAGATTTTTGTTGAAGGACATCAAATAGGTGAATGACTGCAACTTCCTTTATTTTGAAATAAGCTCTTTGTTGCATGTTCTCTGTGGGATGTGTGTGGCGTTTTTTGCCTCAATCTTAAAATTTCTAGTATAGTTGAGTCCTGGTCAATGACCAAGACTGTGTTTGTTTTAAAATGGTTATGAGTTTTGTGAGTGGAGAAAATCTTCAAAAAAGGTTTTCTGTTTGCAAGTACTGTAACACCAGAATTTTCTCCTGTCTTGTTATAGTTGTGTTGTTGTGAAGATTAAAAATTGAGATGGAAACATACTGTTAGGTACAGCAATACATGCACGTTAAAATACAGTCACCATTCAGGTCTGGTGTTAAATTGCCTACATTTACTCCAAATGTAAGCAGAAGTGAGTTGTTTTAAGGAGTATCAAGAAACTGCTTCACAATGGAAGTTTTAGACTACTTTGCTCTCTTGAGAAAATCGTAGAACCATTTAGTTTGGAAAAGACCTCTAAAATCATGAACTCCAACTGTAAATACAGATGATAGTGGGAGGGTAAAATTTTCACCTCAGTATTGCCCAGTTCACAAGGTAGGTCCCTCTTCAGGTTGCGTAGACAGAATAAAGCAATTGTGTAACACCTCAGTTTTAGCAAGATATTTATTGCTACTGATAAGATAGTGAGTCTGCATGGCTGCATAATAATTTTAAAGACCTTGACGTTATCGCAGTTAACTACGCCAAACGACTAATAGTACATCTCAGCAAAGGCAAATAGCTTGGGAAAAGTTAATGCACTACAGTGTGGTTTATGGCCAGGGCATTTAATACTGGTTGAAAATCAGGGCACTTAATACTGAGTAAAGATCTTTGGTCTTCTTCTGGAAGAAAAGGATCTGGTGATATTGCATATTAGACCTTGTTAGTTGGAGAGGGTGTCTTATTCTAGCACTGTGAACTCACAAAGACATCTTATTATGCTGGTCACACATCAGTACAAAGGGACTAAATATTAAAAAAAAAAAATCGGATGGAAAAGTACTGTGTTCATCTGGGCTATAGCCATGTGTGTCTTCCCTCCTTTTATTGAAGTTAGGAAAAAGTCAAAAGTGCAGTAAATGTGTGAGTTAAAAGCCATTCTTCTAACCTGAAGTGTTGAAGCTTGTTCATCACCCTTTTCGGACGTGGAACGAAGTCTAGACACAGAAATGGACGATTTGGATGACTCTACTATTTTCAGCTAGTATTGAATGCACAGTGGTACCACCAGGCTTGGTACTGTTAATCAGAGGCAGAGATACAAGATACTCTGGGACAGTACCAATGTTAGACACTGTTCCCAACAGGCTTTCTGAGAAGAACAATATATTCTCATGTCTTGGGATGTCCCCTGAGCAGCCTTTCTGTAAAACAAACAAAACCTGCACTGCGATCCATTAGCATTATACCAGCAAGGTTCTGTCTCAAGTATGTTCGGCTTCTTCTTTTGGTAGTAGTGTTCACTGTTCATGGTTATTTGCATAGAATTGGTGGTGGTGTTTTGTTTTTGTTTTTTTCCACGTGATAATGTGGATTACTTACTTGTTTTTCTCTTTTACATCAGAATATGCTGCATCTTCAGCTAAACCACTTTGCTTGTAAAAATGGGACAGTGTGAGGAGGTAGAAGGACAGGGCAGGATGACTGAACATGTCATAGCATTTGCAGTCCCCACTGTTACCTTTTATGCTAATCACTTTTATAATCACCTCCGTTGTAGACTTCTAGCTGTGTGAAAATTACTTTGTCTACTTTTTCATCTCCTGTGTTATGTAGAACTTACGTATCTATTTTCTATCTGTTTTACCAGAATTATGCAAATGCTGAGAAACAGAAACATAAAAGAACGGTGGTCCAAACTGAAGTCTGAAACTAAGCCTGACATATATTCTACCCCAGCCTTCTTACTAGAACTATATGCTTAATTCTCCTAACAAGTTCTCCTTCAAGATGGTAGAATGTTCTTCTGCCACCTTGCTTTTAAGAAAACAGTGCTTTTTTAAAAAATTTAAAAAGTGCATTGCAGCTCACAACCTGCTAACGTATGATCTTCTAATCCTGTTTGTTGTACAGAGTTTTCCACCTCGCTCCTTAAAATCCTAGTAAGCTTGAAAAGGGACAGACAGCTTTACTTCTGTTGCTATGGGCACACTGCCACTGTTTCATTTCTCAGTTGTAAGCATAATGTACATCACTGGAGTTAAGAAACTGGCTCCAAAAGCTTCTGAAGATGCTTCTTGCTTTCCTGAACCAATATTCAGTTCACAGATTAACTACTTAAAATATTGCTGTCTTGTAGCTTTTCCTCTCGTTGGGGTCTCAAGAAGAAAGTATTAGAGACTAAATTGATAAGGTTGTTTGCTACCTGCTATGTTTTTTTTCCCCTAATGTTAGTGATATATCGTTTTAGGAAATAAACCTTTCTGCAGTTGTGAGACTTTAAATACAACTTATTCTTCTCAAGATTATCAAGCTGCATTACTAAATTTTGTACAAATATCACTTTGATGGAAAGAAACATGCGTGTGGGTGGAAGACATCTCTTCCTTTCCTCCCTCATTGAGAATCTTCTAGAAAGGTGGGCTTTGTTTTGCTTGAGAGTGATTCCAACCAGAAGAATGTGTATTTGTCAGACGTGGTGAATTCTGCACAACAGGTTCAACTTACATCATGTTTGATTAATAAGCTGCTTATGTGCATTCTAATATTTGTATCTATTTTATATTGACTAACCCTTGAGTATCATGTCCAACATGGGCAAATGCCATGTGGCAAATTGCGCAACGTCAACGGACTTCAAAGGTTCTTGCAAAACAGGTACACAGGTACTTCTGTGAGCCAGGTTGCTGAAACTAGAGTGTCTGCAAGGTTCCTCAGAACGAAGAGAGGATTCTTCAGATCATTTACTTGGATTGTTATCACTATGCTGTATGTGTATGGCTTTTTTAGATTGTAGTAAGATGTACCGTGTCTTCAACAAGAAATGTTGGATGTTTTGGATCTTAAACCTTGCAGTTCTATTTGCAGGGTTTTTTTGGTTTTGTTTTTTACAGGGTTGGGATAGCGAAGTTGTTTATTTGCTTTCTTCCCTAAAGCTCGTCTCCCACTTTCAGACATACATGTAAATGGGCCTTGCTTTCCAAAGAAGTAGTTTTGTCAAAGACATAGCATGGTATCCCCTCATAGATTGTGCTGCATAAATGCGGTTGCATATTTAAGCAGCGCTGTAAATGTTTCTACCCTGAAACAGGCTGTAGCTTTTCAATTTAAAACGTAAATGAAACTGGAATGCCTGAAGTCAGAATTGCCTATTTGTGATGGTGGACCTTTTAAACATCACATTTATTGGGTTTTACTTAGAAAGGGAGAAGTACTTTCTCAGTGCATTTCACGTCATCAAGTTGTTGCCTTGATTTCAGATATTATCCCTGCAGTACTGTGCAGTTGTAGCCTCTACATGTTGTACTTTGGAGAAAAGAGTGTTCTGTTGCCTCTGGACTTTTGTTCAGTATTTTTTCTTTGAAAAAGCAGAAGATAATTGCGACATAGTAGCGGTGTGCAAGTTTCAAAAAAAAATACTAGAAGTAGAATAAATGAAAATGGATGGGAATGTACTGTTCTTGTAGACAGAAATACTTCAAAGGTGGTAGCATGGAAAGTCTGTCACAGGCTGCCTATCACCAAATGCAAATAAGTGTGGGAAGCAGTGTCTGCATTGGGCAAGTACCTTTTGATTCTGTTGCTACAAATTATTAGGTTGTATTAACTTCTATTTATTCTTTAAAATGATGATGCTGATGTTTATAGGTCTCTGTCTCTATATAGAGACATTGTGTGTGTATATATAGCATTATTTAGTTAAGTTAGAGGGACTGACGATAGAGTGTTTTTCTCTGTTTTTTGCAGTAATCTTGATAGGATCATGGAGTAATTAAGGTCAGAAGGGACATCAGGAGTTCTTTAGTCCAGCATTTTCTTTAAGCTACATCAGCTATGACATCAGGCTAGGTTACTGTTTGGCCTCTAAAACTGCTGAAGAAAGAGACCAGGAAACTTATTTGAGCAACTAGTTCCACCAGTTGCCCCTATTATAAGAATCCACCCAAGATCAGAATCCACCAATGCACCCTATTTATTATAAGAAAAATATTTCCGTACGTTCAGTCAGAACTTCTACTTTTGAAAAGGTTGATGGGCTAAAATAAATTGGAGACCAGTGCAAATCTCTTCTTCATTTCATTACCAGATTTTTCTCCTATTAAATGTGCGTCTCGAGAAGGTGTAGTTACATTCCGTTTTCCGTATTTCCAAGTAACAGATGGCTTCTTCACATTTATATGCCTGTTTTTTCAGTAGACTTTTAACTGTGCTTGTGTAAGACAAAATAGTAACCTAGCAGAACCTTTTGTGAAGAAGAAAAAAAAGCAACAGATAAGCAAAGCCATAGCCAGCTTATAACTTCTTAATTCATAGCAACGAGAAAATCCAACTTTCTTCCAAGCCTTTTAAGTTCTGTGGTCTTAGTCCTTCAAAGGGTAAGTGTCAGGACTCTCAAAAAATACTTTTCTAAATGGAAACATTTGAGAAATATTTTTTTCTTTCAGAATATTCAAACCAACTCACTGTGGTTTCATTTTACAACCATAAAAAAGCATCTGAGTAGAAGCATAAGATCAGTAGACTGTTGTCAACACAGTTTTGGGATATAAAAAAAATAATGGGAAAGATAGTGTCTGTAAGTCCTTACTACTTAGCCAATTGCAAGAAATAACTTTATGTATATATATATGTATATATATTTACATCATATACCTATGGATGTATAGGGAGAGAAAGCGTCAACACTCAGGGAACAGAGAACAAAAATGAGGCAAATAACAAAAATATTTTGATATACATTTGTTTTTACCATTTAAAAACTTATTTTAAAAAATGCCATTTAAAAAAAACAAAAAACAAACAACTTAGTGTGGTGTTTCTCTGTAATTTTCTGAAGATTTCACCTGAGTGACATTCACAGGTCACATTTTGAATGTGAATTGTGCTCGTGCACCCTGCACTCACACTGCAGCTGTGCACACTCACAGGAGTTGTGTGACCTGTGATTCTTGGCTTATATTGTTTTCACCAGAGATAATTTTGCAAATACATACGTAGTTGTTATTTTTAACTGAATAGTTGAATAGTTAACGAGAAGAGTATTATGATTTACAGTTTGCCTTCCACAAAACTGCAGTAAATTTTTTTGGAACTTTCAGTTTAAATTAAACCATGTATAGAATTAATCACTTAACTGTGTTTCTCTAAAAAAAAAAAAAAAAAAAGTTTTTGAAGTAAAAAGTGAAGGTGCTACTTCCCCCCCTCCCCAAATACATGTAGATGAAAGGAATGGGCAAGTTGATAATATTCTCTGCTTTTAATAAGGTGGAAACACTGATCTACACCTGTCCTTATTCCCTGATTAATGTGCTCCATGTGCTAAATGAGAGGCCCACCGCTGGGTCTCTGGTAGCATCAAGAGAGATGGTCTTTAAAGAGGAAAAAAAAAAAAAGTTTCATGTAGTTAAGAACCAAATCAGAAATGGTTTAGTCACCCAGGTTCCTGTGTTTCATATCTGGGAAGGGTTAAGGATATTTTTGTTTCAATGCACCATTTGACTTGACTTCGTTTCGTTTAGAAAATAAATGCCAACTCTTAAAATGCTTTAAAACATGGTAACTGATCTAAGTTGTTGAATCTCTGTTCTGTTAAACTGAACCTTGTGGTAAAGTGTGACTGTGGTGTCATGGGCTTTCTTCCTCTGAATTGCTCTACACATATTCAGTCTTCACTGAATTGAGGTGCCCCCCTTGATAATGCAGTGAGCTTTTAACATCTTGATGTTCTTGTCCCCATTCCTTTCAGGAGACAAATGACTCCGTTGAGGTATGCAGCTAGAAAAGGCTCTTCTCGTGGTGTTGGTCTTCTTGTTGCTCATGGATCACACATAAATGCCCAAGATGAAGATGGATGTTCAGTAAGTGATTTACTTCCATGTATTTTAACCAAAGTTTAAAAAACAATGTACAAACAGGAGCCCATAAGCTTGCTTCTAGTGTACCTTCCTCAAAAATGCTCAGTTACACTCCTTTACCACCACCTTGAGATTGTTTTGCACCATCTTTGTCTCCGGATTCTGCCATGTAAGAAGTTACGCAGGTTGTATTATTGATTGAACCTCTATTCTTTTTGGTTTTTTTTGCTTCATATGTAAACTTGATAAAAACAAAACTGTTCTTATGCAGGCATTAATATGGGCAGCACACCATGGACACAAAAATGTCATTTTTAAGTTGCTGGAGCTTGGAGCTGACAAAAATCTACAGACTAAGGATGAGAAGACAGCAGCAGAGCTAGCAAAAATCAATAAGCATTCAGAGGTACTTCATTTCTTTTTGAGATGCAGATTCTGAGGGTTTGGGTTTATTTTGTTTGTTTACTTGTTTGAGATTGCCTCAGAAATTTTCTGTAGAAGTGTTACTTTAATAACTAAACTGTAGCAGCCTAGTTGCATACATCTCCTGTTCCATCTGTGCTGACTACTTTCTGTTACATCCCAACTTAGGACAGTGCTTTGAGTGCTTTTATGGGTTTGTTTTTGTGTGTGGGTTTTTTTTTTTTTTTAAGTTTGGGGATAATTCCCTTTTTTCTGTAGAAGCCTTGACTTTGAAATACAGATTTGACAAGGGATTATTAATGTCGGTACTGTTGATATGAGAAGTAGTAAAAGAACACGTTTCCTTCTGTATGCCCAAGTGTGTGAGAGAATGTAGATATTAAACTATTTTGCAGTGTGTAGTTTGTGGTTGAATTTGGAAGGTAAAAGGCTAAAGCTAAAAGGGGGAAACGGGGAGTCAGCGGTATGTACTGGCTGCCTTCCAAACCTGTTCCCGGAAGGGAAGACAGTCTAAAACAATATAAATTGGTCATCAGATCATTGGAAGAGCAGCAACTCATTATCAGCGTAAAGAGAGCTGCTGAAAACAGCATATATTTTCCTAAAATAAATCTGCTTACCGCTGTTGCTGGATGATGCAGGACTACATTACATACATTATTTTGCTTTGCATCAGTTCAGTGTTGAGCTTTGATTTTGATTAATTCAGAAATGCTCTTGATAAGCTCTGTGGGCTTAGTCTTAACTCCTCCCTGTAGCTCTTTTAGAGAGAAGAGATGGCAGATGTTTGATGTTCTCCGTGTGTAGTAACTTCTGATAGATCTCTTTGTAGTCTTACTTCTGTGTATTTCTTTACACGTTTTAAGTTAAATACTAATGAATTCATTTTGGCTCTTTCAGATTTATAGTTTACTCTCTTTGGCTGTAAATCCCTCGCAAGGGAAATACCATGAAACGATGAAGCAAGAGGCTAGCTACAAATTTCTGACAGCTGTCCCTGACCACAGAGTTGGGTAAATAAAGTCATAGCATAACTTCAGTTTATAAACGTTCCTGAGAGATTGTATTTGTTCATATCAATGTGATTAAGTTTTCCTGATATGTGTTGCGTATATTTTGGAGCACTACCAAGAGGCCACAGTAAGTATATTAACATACTCTAAATTTTTCAAGACCGCATAGTTCCTTTGCATTATGAACAGTGAGCATGCTCTAGATCTTTCCTGCCTCTGACTTGATGTAAAGTAGAGGCAGAGTCCAGTGCCACTTCACTTTTTTTCAGTTTGATAGTACTGAACGTTTGATAGACTTCATTTGTTAGTAAATTTCAAATGCTTTCACTGAATGCTTGTTTTCAGTGCTAGTCCACCAGGACGAGCCGTGCCCCATTCTTTCTTCCACGTGTATTCAGACACTTGGGTGGCCTTGAGAAAGTCCAAGTGAAGTACACGTGACTCTGAAGCATGCAGGTGTTCTTTGGGTGAACTCAGCACCTGCTTCAGCAGCCTTGAAGATGTCTGACACTGTTTTGTTCCAGAACGTAAAGCTAAGAAGTCCTCAAGAAACCATCCACTTTTCCTCCTTGAGTGACATAGTTTTCAGAAGACAACTTCCAGAGCCCATAGTCTCTGTGCAGTCTGTTCTGGTTGGTCAGGTTGGTTTTCAGCGTCCCTGCTCAGCCATGTCATGCTGAATTTGAAATGCCACAGTTCCGTACCATGGGGCTGGCTGTAGGTCACAAGCTAGCAGTTTGGAGGTAGTGTCAGGGCACCTCGTTTCAGACAGAGCCTCATCAGGTTTGGTCATTAGAGAAACGTTTACCTCAATAAGGTTTTCATCTTCTGGGGCTTCAACTGTGGTCATCTCAGAGGCACTTCGTAGAGCTGCAGGGTGAAGGTTTGGCATTGTAGAGTCAGTTATCTGCACTGTCCTCTTTGTTCTTGCATTTACCAATAAAATAAGGAAGTGACTTAGCACCATGCAGCCGTTATCCGAATTCTGTGCTGTTGAAACTTGATGGCAGCCAGAGGGCATTGAACCAGTGTCTTGGTAATCTTGATAACCTTTTAAAATACGACACTGAAATCCTGTAGCCCACTTAAGAAATAGTTTGTGGCAGCCAGATGTCCGACCATGCAGATCTAGCTCTGTATTACGCAGTTTTGCACTTGTAGGATTTCACTGCATCAGTAGGCTTTTTATAAACTCTACCAGTTTTGTCTGTATCGTTTCTGGTGGTTAGTGTGACTCCTGGTTCCAGAAAGCAGTCCCTCTGAGTCTAATGGCTGTCTGGCTGTTAAGCTGTGTATGTGGGAATGGTTGTTTATTAATTTACACACACACACTCACAAAGAGTGAGTTTTTTTTTTCATCTGATGACGGTCAAGAAGTACGCTGTACCTTTGTTTACTCCATCGTATTTCCTCAAGCTGAGTACCTCCTTCCTGCCGTTTGTCTGCATAATTTTCATCACAGGCGTTGCCAGTTAGCTTCTAAATTTCCGTTTCCTCTCCGATCTGCTCCTTATGCATCATCTTGTGCTGGGTATCAGTTGTGCCCCACAGTGCGTGGTCAGTGAGCATAACCTGGCATCGATGCTGCTGTCATTCGTTTCCGATCATTAGGTAGGGAGGGTAGCTTCAGTCGTTGCCTTCTGCTGTCCTGAACGAGAATTGTCCTGGCTCCAGGTGCCTGTACTGTTCAAGGAGGCAAACACCTGTCAAGAATTTGCTCTCTCAAACTTCAGATTACTCTTCTCTAAAGAGTCGTCATCTTGTTGAGAGGCTTTCAAGTGAACATACAGATGCTGAATAAATGTCCTTTCCTTGTCCTACAAGCCTTGAGTTACCAAAGGACTCCCCAGACCTGTGCCAACTAGATGCTTTGAGTGCCTAAATAAAAAGCAAAATTGATCACTGCAGGTTGTTCACCTCCTCGCCCCAGTTTGGAGGCAACAGTGGGGGGAGGGATAATAACACAATTCTGCCCAACTTCGTGGTAGGGGCAGTATCTTTAAACTCTGCTAAAACTATTTTAAACGCTTCCTGTGTTTTGTCTGCTGAAATTGACCCTGTATGCCCACAGAATTACCGAGAATTCTCAGTGTGCAAACTTGAAATGTTTTCTTACGTATTCAGAAAAAAAAAAAAAAAACGTTTTTGTTTTTTTTTAACAAATCTTAACGGTAGGAACTTAATGACTTTGCCTCCTTTTCACATCGAAGGCTAACCTTAATTTCAAGGCCAACAAGAAGACAGAGCAAACTGTCTCTAAATTCAAGATGTTGGTGAAGGATTGCTATCGCACTTGCAGCAGTCCTTTTTGATTTTTGTATCATTTGCTTTTTAGTTTAATTCTGTTCATTACAACTGTTCATCTAATTGTTGAAAGCTGTTTAAACTTTTAAAATGTTTATATCTTTTACTAATGTGGGGAATTCATGATTTATCTTTGTTTATAAATGTTAAACTGTGAACTTACTCTGAGTGACTCTGCTTCATCAGTCTAACTTCTGAACAGTAGCCTTCCGACAACAAATTTGTTACCAGACTGATTTCTGCTATCTTTAATACAGGCATTCCTGTTTTCTTGATAATGTTTTTTGGTTTAAATGGAGCTGGTTTAAAGGGGTAACAGCTGTGGGCTGAATCCAGTTTGTATGAAGATTAGCTGATAGGAACACACAGTTTATCTTAAACCGCACTTAGAAATTTTTCAGGCTTTTGTGAGCAACTTTAAAATTCATTCGGAACGTTTTGCTACTAAACAGTGACATTCATTTATGAAAGTAGTTTTCTTCAGGCTCAACTCTACTTTCTACCTAATAGACCAGAAGCAAAATTATGAAGTTTTGCTAGGTTAAACTGTACTCCCTGATGCTTTTGAGAGACTACTGTTATCAGTAGGTACGCGCAGGTTTAGGTCTGACAGTGCTTTGTCTGGGATTTTTTCTGCAATGTATTGTTGAGGATATCTTTTGGCTTTAATTTTCCACTGTTTTCACCTTGAATCTGATTACATTTACAGTTTCTATTCAGCTTTGGATGACATGGAAGTATTTTTACATGGTCCTGGTCTAGAACACCTAATAGGATTATCGAAGGTAAGGTTGTGATTTATCTGCTGTCTGGAAAGGAATTCTTGAAAACAGGTGCACCTTAAGCATCAGCAGAAGTTGTGTTGTTTCTAGAATATTAATTCAAATAAGTGTCTTAATTTCAAGTTACATTTGGAGTATAAAGGTCCGCTGCAGTGGATTGGTTTTGGTTATTAGTCAGTCATAACACATGATGTTTCTAAACTGGAGGACTCCCGTGTTTCGTTGGTAATGGTGTTGTGCAGTTGTTCTTGTATCTGAAAACTGAAGTAAAATGTAAGTGGGGAAAAAGATTAAATCAAGTCAGTATTTTCTTCTGAAATTACTTTTGATGACAGAAAACCCTTTGCCTTATACAGGAAAGAGATGTATATTTAAGGCAACTTCTGATCATGCAAAAAGAAGAGTTAATGCAGGTCAGTTCTGAAAATTTCCTCCTCTTTCTTAAATGGCTTTAGTATCTTTTCCTTATAAGTGTCTAACTTTCTAAGAATTCTTTAAAGGTCTGTTTTCAAAATCTTGTACAGCAACTTGAATTTCTGTATAGAGAGAGATGTTTTCTAAAGTATGTAATCCCACAGACCAGCCTCAAATACTGTGAGTTGAATTCTTGGATATTCTTTGCCTGAGTATGAATTGGAGGCCCCCAGTATTCTTGCTGTAATGATGCAGGAGTTGGGGTGAGCAGGAAATAGTTCAGTTTGGAATTTTAGTTGTTAGCGTTGTTAGTACGTAAGCATGTTTTCCCTGAACGGAAATCAGTGCTAGTATTATCAGCAGCTAATCCTAAATAACCGCTTTAAATGTGGTCCACTTAGTGAGATGGTAGGATCTTTTGTATTGTGGCATCTCATATCCCACACAGACTTGTAAATCCTTAACCAAAAAAAAGAAGATTGGATTTCTTACAGTTTCCTACATCTGGGAAGTTGAGTATTTCACTGTTGTGTAGGAGAAACTGATAAGCAATTGTAAGGTTTCAGTTTGTAGTAGAAATAAGGTGATTGCCTTTTCCTTAGGCTTATTGGAATTCCTGCTCTGGGAAAAACTTCCTCACCTAAAGGAGGATGCCATCATGAAATCCAATCCTAGCAGTCTCCTTAAAACGCTGGAACTAGTTCAGGCTGCACTCTGTGCCTGAGCCAGGGTACTGCAGAGGCCTTCTTAACCAAGCCGCCTGAGGCCTGCTTCACGTATTAGCCACACACATCCTCAGTGTCAACTTTTTTTCCCTACTCTGGTTTGTTGTTTTACCCTGGGACGGTACCAAAACGCGCATGGTCCCGTGGACGCATGTGTTCCAGCAGGCGGAATCGACAGTTCCCTGCAGATGTTGCTGTTCTTTCAGTGCTGGTGTCATAAGGATGTTTTGCATGAAGGTTTATCTTGTAAGTGGGTAGACTTGGTGTTGTCAGTGTTTTGACAGAGCTCAGAAATAGCTGTGTTCTCAGAGGGGGTACCTGTGGGGAGTTCTGTCGATCAAGAGGTTTCTCCGAGAGTTCATGTAGACATAAATATTACAAGGCATGTCAGCAGCTGCGCTTTTCTTGAAGCTTTGGGATTGTCTGCTGGGCAGCATCGCAGCGTGGGCTTCATCTGAATCTGTAAAGCCCCCCCCTTTACAGGAATTCCGCTCTTAAGACATTTTTGTGGTTTTTCTTCTCGTGACTTGTGAGCTGGTTTGCAATCTTGTGATCGCATTAAACTGCAAGCCTGAATATGTGTTCAAATCGATCGCCTGTTTTGATGTTGTGATCATTGTTATTTGTTTTTGTCACGGGGACTTTGGAGGAGGGGGAGAGGGTTATGGACTTCAGTGAAGAGCTGAGCCTTATCATTACTGAAGAGACGTAATGTTTTTCATATAAACCGATAACTTCTGTTTCAGTGTTGTAATGTGTTGGGGGCTTCCTATGACAAAGAACTTTTGGGGACACACCAAAATAAATACCTGGATCAGCTGTTCTCGCACAGGAAAACCGTATCTGTAGGAGCAGAACTTCATTGCCTCTTGCCTCAGCAACAGCAGGAAGCAATACCTGGAAAACAAGTCATGCTTTGTGCATGGACATAAATTAATTAGTCTTCAACTCAAGATTATTTTTTTTAATGACATACATGTAATGTTCCTGGCTTCTTACCACTTCATAAGTTACCCTAAATTCTTGATTCTAGTTTTCAAGCTCTAGTAACAGTTTCCCCCCACTCCACTGATAGAAAAAAATCTAATCTGTTTCCTCATACCTCTAGAGTTGAAAGGTTTTAGTGTGATGGCAGATCTTCCACTAACAGCCAGCTCTTTTAAAGAGCCTGGATCTTATTACTGCAAAGATTAATGATGACCTCTGATGGATGCCTCTGAACCATGCTGCTTTTTATCCAAAGAAGCGGAGAAAAAATCCTGTCACTAACACGAGACACTTTCCTCCATCAAACAATATCAGAAAGATATTTTCTCTGTAAATATCTTTATCTGTATTCTACAACAGAGCCTAAGCAATGACTCTTTCAAGCGGAAATCCTTGCATTCCTCCAAGTTATAAACTGTTCCCTACTGAGACAAGTCTGTTCAACATACTGGGACACGGCTGTTTGGTTCTGTGCTTCTCGTGACACTTAGATATTTGGGGAGGGGGGGCAGTCGGGCACCTTCTTTAAGTATTCATCTCAGAGGACAGTGGCACGAATAATTTTATTTCTTGATGCATTTTGGACTGAGAAGGCTCCGTTCTCACGTCTGTTAGTTTAGAATAAGAGAAACTGGCATGTTCTTCTGGATTTGAGAAAGCATAATAAAAATTTGACACGTCAAGATATATAAGCCAAGGGTTTAACTTCATCATTAGAGAGTTATCTGATCTGCATACTTCCATATCATAGTACCAGGACTCTCCTTACACCTTCCCCCACAAAAAAAAGCATTTTCTATTTGGCAGAATATTTTGAAGTTGTTTTTTTTTTTTTAAAAAAAAAAAAAAAGTGACCATTTGGACAATATGGCAAAGATGCAAGACTTAGCATAAAACCTCACGGGTGTTATCTGAGAAGTAAGCCATCTTTTTGTTGAGGTAATGTATTCACCTCTTCTTTTATTTCTACCTAAAAGATTGACAGAACGTCGTGTTGATGCTGGCATGTGGGTTTTCATGGGTTTTCTGGTTTGCTTTTACTTGAGTGAAGTGCTGTTAGCTGATGTGCCTAAGATTGCATAGTCCTGTTCAACAGACACAAGCGAGTCCTGGTGCAACGCTTTTACGTTCTAAATGTATGGTTACTTCAAAATAATATTTGGCATTAGGTGGACTGCAGAGTACAATTGAACTGACACCAGCTTAAAAGCTTGCTTATCCATAAAGAAGAAGAGGGG